GTAGAGCTCCTTGTAACTTCCTTTTCTTCAGCAGCAAGGGTGAGGGGTACGCCAATGGACACATTCCTCTTCAGTATATCCTTCTCAGATCTGAGGAGATTCTTTCCCATCCCCTCCAGGAAGTTCACCATCCATATCCTCTATTGTGGATACTCTTCTCTTTGAAGAGTTGGAGGTTTGGTGAGTGAACCCACACTATATGCATAATTCTAATTGGCCATGAGATTTTTTAGAGAAGAAAGAACACGCTTTTTGGAGAAGAACAAGTACGATTTTAAATGAATGAAAATTGAGAGATTTTGATTTGATCGTTTTTTATTGAAGAACAATCAATTGGCTCTCATACCAATTGTTGATCCCATATCTCTCAATAACATGAATATTCAAGTTATGAATAACCTAAATATATCGTGTGGATGGAAAAATAGTGAAGAAAACACAAGAATATTCAAGAATGTATTTGAGTGTCAAATGATTCACTATTATTCAAAATGATTGAATGGAAAGCGTAAAGGATTACAAGGATGATAAAGCCTATTTATACTATTAATCTAAATATGGAGATTGCTATCTATGTAAGATATATCACAAATCTCTTATGAAACAAAGCAATATGGAAACTAAATAAAGCTAAGTAAGGTAATGAGAATCCAACTGTTGATTTGCCATCTCCAACTATCGTTTTGCCATCTCCAGCTGTCTTCTTGAGGATGTGTTCAACCATGAGTCTTGTGGTCTTCTTGAATGAATATCTCTGGTTGAACTGTTGTAGAAAACTCCAAGTGTTGGTAACCAGAGGGGTTATGGAGATGTGCAATTCATCGCACCTATGGACATTCATCGCATCTCTGGTTGTATAGGGCAATTAGACTTTTTCCTTGTGAGTCTTCCATCGGCCTTCTGCTCTTTCACACTTGTATGTTTTTCATGACTTTTACAAATAAGAGTGATGTGGTCTAACAATATCAATAACAAATATACAACATTTTAGTAAAACAAACATCTTTTGTCGCATAAAATGATGATACATAATCCAATTATTGCAGCAAATAGTCCAACAACTCAATTATCACGTTATGATAAAACTCATTGCATCATAAAGGTAAAAACATAAATTCCTCGCATCACATGGGTGAGACAACCTCATTTCCTTGCAGCACACTGGTGCGAGGACCCAATCTCATCGCATCACATATGTGCAATAAACCGAACTTATCGCATCAATAGGATGCAATAAGTTCATGTTGTTGCATCACAAGGATAAGACAAACTTACTCCTTGCATCACAAGGATGCGGAAAACTTCATTCATCGCATCAATAGAATGCGATAACTTACAACACCCTAAAAGTTAAACCGGAAATAATTGACATTACCCAACAAAAGTAGCATTGAAGCGTTTACAAATTAGATACTGAGAAGATAAACAACAA